AAGAACAAAAGGCTAAAATCAGAATAACAAGCGAAACATCTGGAAAAATCAATATCGAGAAGGGAGTAAGACAGGGATGTGTCCTATCACCTTTGCTGTTCAATGTTTACTCTGAGAAGATATTTCAGAAAGCTTTGGAAGGCACCTCGGATGGTATAATTATAAACGGGCAATGTATAAATAACCTGCGATATGCTGATGACACTGTCATACTGGCAAATAATGCTGAAGCCCTGCAACGCTTAATGGACCGAGTAATGACAGCCTGTAGAGAATTTGGAATGAAATTGAATACAAAGAAGACAAAAACGACGATCATCAGCAAGCACCAAAACAGAAGGGTGAAGGTCAATGTCGACGGAACAGATCTGGATAGAGTAACAAGAACAACGTACCTTGGAAGTAATCTTGATGAAACTTGGGACCACTCACTAGAGATAAGAATACGCCTGAAAAAGGCACGTACAATGTTTTACAAAATGCAAAAAGTTCTATCATCCGCCAGCTGGGCATCTCATTGAGAACTAGAATACTTAAGTGCTATGTTTTCTCCACCCTGCTCTATGGTGTTGAAGCCTGGACAATGACAGAAGCAACACAAAAAAGAATCCAAGCATTCGAACTCTGGTGTTACCGTAAAATGCTCAGAATATCCTACATGAGCCATACGACGAATGCGGAAGTCTTGCGGAGAATGAATAAGGAAAGAGAGCTTATGCTTATAATAAAAGAACGGAAAACACAATATTTTGGTCACATCATAAGAAGTCAAAAGTATGAACTGCTCCAACTTATAATCGAAGGCAAAGTCAATAGCAAAAGAGGACCAGGAAGAAGACGCAACTCTTGCAAAAAAACTCTCGCAACTCTTGCAAAAAAACTCTTGCAACTCTTTCTAAAAACTTACGGCAATGGACGAACATGACCTCCATAGAACTATTCAGAACTGCTACAAATAAGATTAAATGGGCAAATGTAATGGCCAACGTCCTTAAGGATAAGGCACCGTAAGAAGAAGATTGGTTAAGTGCTATCATTTGAGATATCGTACGTCACTATTGGCCTAATAGGACCAAAGGTACATAACTAAGGCCCTTTTGACATGCAACTCCATTACCTCATTGTATCTCATTGTATTTTATTTGTTAAATCCTTTCATTTGAGGTACTGCACGTCATGATTGGACTAACAGAACCGAAGATACACAACTAAGGCCCTTTTGACATTGTGCTGTATTTCATTTTTCTATCCCATTGTATTCCTTACGGTAAATCTTATCATTAGAGGTACTATACGTCACGATTGGACTAATAGGATCAAAAATACGTGACTACGGCCCTTTTGACATGTTGCTGTATTTGATTTTTCTATTTCATTGTTTTCGATTGGTTAAATCCTATCATTTGAGATACTGTACGTCACGATTGGACTTATAGAAACGAAGGTATATAACTAAGGCCTTTTTGACATGCTGCTTTTCTGTCTTATTGTATTTTATTGGTTAAATCCTATCATTTGAGGTGCTGTACATCACGACTGGACCAATTGGAGCAAAAATATGCAATATATACCCCGTTATATATACCCAATATATAACCCGTTATTTTTAATCAAACAAGATGCTAGAATGATTTATGGATGAAAAAAATATATATAAATTCTTAAATTTACCATTTCGTTGTGGGTAATATTATATTCAACAGCGATGCCAAATTTCTGATGCCAAAATGATTGATAATGAAAGTGCGATATACATTTTCATGTATATAATGGCAGCGAGTAAACGGTAAAACCCTGAACTAAATATATATAATATTTTCACTGTACCATCATTTTAGACTCAAACATTTCCTGGAATAAACTTATATAACTCAGTAAGGGATAAAAAGAGAAAGCGGACATTTTAAAATACCAACACGGTATCAAATCTCTAATCATTGAGATGGTTAAAATTCTTGTAACAAGTACAGGAAAAAAGTTATTAAGGTCTTGTAAAGTAGCGTCGATATACAGATGCTACTTTGCAAGACGATGCTAAATTGATGGTAAAAGCATAATGTATCGATGCCAAAATGATAGTAGGATGTATATATATATATATATATATATATTATATATATATATATATATATATATATATAATATATATTGTATATATATATATATTGTATATATGTATATATATATATTGTATATATGTATATATATATATATATATATATATATATATATATATATATTGTTATGGATCAGTTTATCGATCAGAAATAGAATAAAGAGTTTTTATTATTTTTAATATACCGCGGGCATATAAGTTAAAATACAACCCTGTACTTATTTGTAATAGTTAGAATAAGAGAAAACATTGTTCCGTGACGGGACCCTAACGAGTTTTTCCGTGAAAGACTGAGTGGATAGTGAAAGAACAATGGAATCAGTATAATTATAGATTTAGGAATAAACTTGTAATTGTATTTTGCGGTGGGCATTTTTCGAAAGTAAATAAGAATTAGATTTAGATAAGAGATAACAAGAATTTGGAAACTTATTTCTGTTGAAAAAGGCAAAATTGTTAATGGTTTCTGAAAAGTAATTTGAGTGAAAGTAGTTTATTGGTTTTAAATATCATGTTGGAAATTTTCTAAATCGAAAATAAGTGGGAAAGATGAATGCTTATGATTGGTTAAAAAAGAATGGTGGGAATGAGAGAGTTGAGAAGGTTGTCTGGGAGAGATTGAAAGATTATTATGTTACCGGCAGACCAGAAGAGAAGACGTGTTTTCGTGTAGTCAATCTGAGTACCAGTGTTTTTCGTTTGTTAATGAAAAAGGTGGAAGCTGAGAGCAGATCAAAATCGAGAAGATTAATACCTCTTTTGAGTCTGCATAGTCCACGAGATATAATTGAGAAAGAAAGGAGAATTTGTGAATAAATAGTACCGGTCAAAAGAGGCTTGGGCTTCTGTTTTCGGAGGAGTAGCTTGCTGGTATGCGGTTTGGATCGATGCTGAGAACGGGAAAGATTTGATGGTAGCCGGACATAATCAATCAAGGAAGGAACTGTGGTTTGATCGAGAGGAGACATAATTGGTGTAAAAATAAAGGTCATTCAAACAATTTGAATGAAAGAAATTTAAGATATTCTAAAGATAAAATCAAATATAAGCATACGAACTAAGATTCCAAGTTTCAAAGAGTTATTTTTTTTTGTGAATAAATTATATTTTTATATGGTCATTTTTTTTTAGTAGATATTATTATAAAACAGATCAATAGATAGTTTGTAATTAAAATTAAATTTAGAGTATAGGAGTTTGTTGGGAAAGATAATTGCCCACAGAAGTTATTTATTAATATTAATCGTATTGTTTATTGAAAATAAATAATAATTTGTGTGCATATTTATGTTGTTTTAATGTTAGTTCCGTTTCCTGTTCTATCCTGATTATGAGCAACTAGGAGATACTGAACCCACTAGAAGAAATATATAAAGTAAACTGATTAAAGTAATAATTTTTAAGAAAAAGGCACCCTGAGAATTTTTATAGTAACTGAATTATATGACTCTGCATAAATTAGTGAATTAATTAAACAAATAATTGGATTAATTAAATTAGCGTTAATTAATAATAAAACATCATAAAGCAGATCACAACAATATATATATATATATATATATATATATATATATATATATATATATATATATATATATATATATATATATATATATATATTATATATATATATAATATTGTATATATACAGATTGAACGAATTTAAAACGGATTATACAATTTAATATATGTCTGTTTGAACTGCATTTGAAGTAGTGGACCAATATAAAACTTGGACAAAAATAAATCCCTACCTGGGTATAGACATTGTATAAAATATCGTTCAACTATCTGTCTCGCAACAATGTTGTTTGCGTAAAGGAAGCGACAATAGTTCAGGAAATGAGGCTCGAAAAAAGTTAAAACTTCGCAATTTTTTCGTCCTGCATGGATTGAGTTGAAATTTTAACAGAAGGTAGGTGATAGCCCAAGGATCAAAATCTATATCGAACCGAAGTGCGCTGAAGGGTTTTAGGGGTGAAAACTACCCTAATTGTCAAAAATTATAAAATAACATATTAAACCTGAATATGGGTAAGATTTGGTTTGAATTAGTTAAATAATGATTATTTTATACTTTTGAATAGAGTTTCCTCATATTTCAACCCTTAAAAAGCAACCCTTGTTAGAGATTAATGTAAAAAATTTACTAATTTTAAAAAAATTATTTCGCCTTGGATCGATTTGGATAAAAATTTGGATTTAAGCTCAATTCACCCACTGCTTTATAGTTTATGTCATGTCGACGAACCACTTATTTTTCTTAGGGGTGAAAACTACCCTTAATTGTCAAAAATTATAAAATAACATATTAAACCTGAATATGGGTAAAATTTGGTTTGAATTAATTAAATAATGATAGTTTCGTGCTTTTGAATAAAGTTCCATCATATTTCAACGCTTAAAAAGCGACCCTTGTTAGAGAATAATGTAAAAAAAAAGTAGTAATGCGAAGAAAATGATTTCGCCTTGGAACGATTTGCATAAAAATTTGGAATTAAGCTCAACTCACCCACTGCTTTATAGTTTATGTCATGATGAACCCTGATTGTTCTTAGGGGTGAAAACTACCCCTAATTTTCAAAAATTGTAAAATAACATTACAAATCTTATGAGTGAAATTTGGTTTGGATTAGTTAAATAGTGATTTTTTTATACGTGTTTGGTTCATACGCTGGTGATTGTGAGTTCATTAGTGATCCCAATTATAAATTTCCTTTTTTATTTTTTAAATATTTAAAAACCTCACTTTAATATTATTAAATATATGTAATATACGCAAAAATGCTAACGTGGGCTGTCCCACTGGACTGCCACACCCGTTTTTTTTATTTTAGATATTATATTAAAGAAAAATTACTTGTGGCGTGCAAAATATACATACCTTGTAGCAACTGGGGAGGCGGCAGGACTGATGAGAATGGTTTTCTTCTTTGGTAAACAAACAGTCGGTTGGAGTACTTCTCCAGATGGTGTTATAATGGTTTGTTGTAAAATCTTCGCCTTGCAAGAAGGTTTAGCTCTGGATTTTCTATTAGGTTTGGGGGCCGGAGGTGGATCTTCCTCCTCGATGTGCTTTTTAATATTAGGTATCACAAATGTCTTTAAATCTTCATTCTCATTGACGGTACTATCGGAAGACGGTACGACTTTTTTGGCTTCGGGAGCTGGTTTAATAATTTTTTCAGACAAAATAACCGGCTTGGACTTTGATTTTTGTTTTGGTAGAGTTTCAGCAATTGTTTCTTGTCTAGTAGATTCGCCTTTTACTTCTGAAAGTCTATCAAACAACTTGGAACTACTAGGAGCACTTTTATCTTCGTCGAAAGATTTTAGATAATCTTTTGAAATTAAATTTTTGGAAATAATCTCGTCGAAATCACATTCGACATCGTCGACAATTTTAGGCTGGGTTTGAAATTCTGGTGCTTTTTTGCTTGGATCATTTCCTTCTAATATATCAAGTAACTCACCTTGATTATATGCATTTATTTTTTTAACATTAGCTCTTGGTTTGAGTTCTTTTGTTATTGCTCTGGAAGTAAATTCGGTACCTTTAGAATGTGTATCCAGACTTTTGTCATTCTCACTGGTCGATTCTGAAAAATCCATCGAGAAATTTGACAGGGTAATCGGCTTTTTAGGACTTATAACTTTTTCTGACGTAATTTCTACCTGCGCATCTCCTAAATCTTTTTCAGACATAACTGTCAAATTTCCTTCTATGGCAACCATTTCTGTCTCAGATAATTTTTCAGGAAACATATCTGGTTTTGGTAAATCATCTGCGGGTACATTATTATTGATAGTAACTGGTTCTGGATCACACTTTAGTTCAGACATCGTTGCTAATGCTATAGCTGAAATTTCTTCGCTTCTCGATAAATTTGAAAGATTGGTTTGTATGCAGAACTTAAATGAGTCGTTTGAATTGGCACAGTGAATTTCAAGTTCTTTGGGGTATTCCTCTACTTTTTGAGTCTTATCGGATTTATTTTCAATAGGGCTTTGGGAATTTTCTCCACTCTTCTCCAAACCAGTTATATTTTCGCTGTATGACGGTTCAGTGAAGTTTTTAATTCGACAAGCATCATCTTCAAAAGAAAGCATATCACTTTGTATAGCTTTACTCAGACCAACTTTAGGGCTTCTGGATTTTACAGAAATATCAATAATTTCTTCCTCTAGTTCAATATCTAAATCCTCTTGATTTTTATCACTATCGTCTTGATTTAATTTATGAACAATATCAGTAACCAAATCGTTTAATGATACATCTTCTTCGTCTAGGTCGGTAAAATTAATATATTTTTTTGGTTCTAATCTGTGTTCAAAAGTATTCTTTTTGTAACGGACCTCGGATTTGCTCACACAACTTGCCGGTATTTTAAATATTGAATCTGGTAGTTTTTTAGCGGGCTCCTCTGGGTCCTTAATAGAGGAATCACTTATTTTTTTAGCCGTTAAATCTGCACTGTCGCCAGCGGTGTTTGAATGCTTCGGTGCCTCATGAAACGCAATTTCTCGTTCAGAAGTTACTCCAAATTCTTGATTGGCAATGGGTTTTTCCAGACAATCTTCCATTGCCGATAATTTGGTTCTATACTGGTTATCTTTCTCATCAGAGAGAGTTGAACTTCTAGGTGCTGGCTCACTTAGTACCGAACTCTGACTATCTTCATGGTGTATGCACTCTTCAACTTTACCCAACTGTGGTTCCTGTATTAATTTAAGTTCCTGTATAACAGTCGGTTCTTTGTTTGCTTGTGTTTCCTGGATAACATCTAATTTTTTATCAGCGACCACTCCTGATGCTTTTTGAATTACACTCAGCTGTGCTTCATTATTACCTTCAGATCCAGATTGGTTAGGTCGAGTCTTCTGATGAACATTTAATGCTGTAATTTCATAAAATCTTGATTTTAATTTCTTAATAACTGTGGTTGCCGCTGTGTCGGTAGAATGTCGTTCTGAGTTTGTTGATTGTGTTTCTGTATTCGGTTTTGTGTGTTCATGTTCCTCAATCGATTTGTTTTTATGGATGACTGTTAATTTTTCTTCAGGACTAATACATATTTCCTCTACTACCTCTTCAATCAACGGCGGTTCCTCTATAGATTGAAGACTCTCATTTGCATCTACTTCGGTAACAAATGCAGTCTCAAGGTTTTCCTTTGGTTGAATTACTGCAGATTCTTGTTCAGCTACGAGAACCTGTGATTGTGCTTCATTAACCATTGAACTTTCCTGTTTAGGCGCGCATGTTTCGGCAATTGATTCTTCTTCATCAAAAGTAAAGCATACTTGATTTTCTGAGTGTACGTCTTGGGTAAGGTCTAATGCTTGTTCATTAGAATCAACAGGTTGTTCAACTATCGAGGTTTCCAGAACTTCTGGAGATTGTTCTTTAATAAGACACTCAGATTGCTGGGGAGATGGATTTATTCCTTCCATGTCGTGTTCAGAATCTTCCTCTACTAATTTATCATCAATGTCTACTGATACTTCTTCTGAAGATTCCTTCTCCAATTGTATATTTTGTGATAAAGTCAGTTCTTCACTACTAACTACAGGTTCCTCTTGTTGTGCATCATGAATTACGAGCACATCTTTCATTGATTCTTGTTCATTTAATCTAATTTCTTCGTTAATAGAAAGAGGTTTTTCTGATATTGTTTCCTCTTGTGTTACTCTAGGTTCTTCTTCTTGAGGTTGCTCTTCCAGCTTTCTCTCCAAAGGTAAACGACAGTCTTCATTAGTAATACATGGTGTTAATGTTGTTTCCGTAGTTGTGATACATTCTTCTGCCTGAAGTTGCTCTTCTGAATGGATCTGCACGTCTAGTTCCGTACTAACAATAGATTGCTCCAACATTGTTGTTTCTTCAATTACTGCAGGTTCGTGCTCTTCTGACTCTGCCTCCGAAACTACTTCAAATTGTTCATTACTAAAAACAGGTTCTGATGCTGTTACTTCCTGACTTAGTACATGTTCTTCAAAATGAAGCAGCTTTTCTGATTGTACTTCCCGAGTTAAATTGAATTCTTCTTCCTTACTATCAGAAATATTCTCTAATAATTGTTCCTCCTTGGCCACTACATGTTCTTCCGTACAAAGTGTTACTTCTTGAGTTACAGGAGGTTCTCCTTCGTAGAGCTGCTCCTCTGGCAATACATTCTGAGTTGAATTGAATTCTTCTTCTCTAGTAACAGAAATTCCCTCTAGTATTGTTGCTTCTTGAGACACTACAGGTTCTTCTACTATTTGCTCCTTTATTGGTACCTCAGGAGATAAATTTAATTCTTCTCGACTAACAGAAAGGTCCTCTGGTATCGTTGCTTCGTGGGTCACTACGAGTTCTTCCACAGTTTGCTCCTGTGATTGTACTTCTGGTGATATATTGAATTCTTCTTCTTTACTAACAGAAAGGTCTTCTGGTATTGTTGCTTCTTGAGTTACTACAGGTTCTTCCAGTATGTGCTCCTTTAATGGTACCTCAGGAGTTAAATTGAGTTCTTCTTCTCGACTAACAGAAAGGTCCTCTGGTATTGTTGCTTGCTCAGTCACTACGATCTCTTCAAGAGTTTTCTCCTGTAATTGTACTTCTGGCGTTAAATTGAATTCTTCTTCTTTACCAACAGAGAGGTCCTCTGGTGTTGTTGCTTCCTGAGACATTACGGATTCTTCCAAAGTTTGCTCCTTTAATTGTAAATCTGGAGTTAAACTGAATTCTTTTCTTTATCAACAGAACGGTTCTCTGGTATTGTTGCTTCTTGAGTCAATACGGGTTCTTCCAGAGTTCGCTCTTTTAATGGTAGCTCCGGAGTTAAATTGAATTCTTCTTCACTAGCAGAAAGGTGCTCTGTTATTGTTGCTTGCTCAGCCACTACGGGCTCTTCCTGAGTTTGTTTCTTTAATGGTACCTCCAGAGTTAAATCGAATTCTTCTTCCTGAGCCACTACTACTTTTTCCAGAGTTTGCTCTTGCGTTGGCTCCTCAGGAGTTAAATTAAATTCTTCTTCATCGCTAACAGAAATAGCTCCTAAGATGGAAGATTTCTGTGTTATTATTCGTTCTTCCGAGGGTTGCTCGGCTTGAGTAAGATATACTTCTTCTTCTGGTTCAGTTGTCTCATGAGTTTTAACCGAGTCTCCTTCAAATTGATTATCAATAAATTCCGTGGACTCATTTGCTTCGTTAAATGACGATTTTTCTTTATCAACAGATGAATCAATCGATTCGTTAGTTTCTTTAATTTCGCTAAATTGGCTTTCTGTTGATTGCTCGGTAGGTTCTACTTCTTTAGATTCGGTTATACTAATAAGATTTTCATCTGTAACGGGTTCAAGTTCAGGAATGTAATCTATTTCTTCTGTTGAATCAACAGTGTTCTTTTCGATTATCGTTTCTTTTATGGTTGCAGGTTCTTTATTAACAATTTCAGCTTCATTTTGAGCACTTGGTGAACAAATGGAAACTTCTTCAACTGCACCATCACCATCTGGCGTTTTTGAATCAGCTTCAATGTTACTACTTTCTATATCACTAGCATCTCGAAGTTCAACATTTCTGTAAGATTCCTTGCTTGTTTTTCCCTTTTTCTTATGTTTGTGTTTCGAAGATTTTCTTTTGTTCCTTTTTTGTTTCTTAGATAATTTCTCACTAAGATCTAAATCGACATTTAGATTGTCAGATGTGATAGCACGGTCTTGCAATCCCGTATTGCGATTAATCACTGAAATATTTTCACTTTCAGAGCTACAAACTTCTTGAACCGCATTGTTTTGGTCACCTATACATTGCTGAATTGGTTCTTGTTCGATTTCTTCGGGTTTATTGTCGTGAACAAGGATTTCTGACGTACTTTGAGGTTCTACATCAAGAGAGACGTTTTCTTGTAGTTTCGGGGAGCTGCTCTCTAAACGAGCAGCACTTTCTGTAATTAAAATTGGCTCTTTGTAAACAGCATCTTCCGCTACAGGAATCTGTACAAATTCGGATTCCTTTTTAGATTCCACAGATTCAGTTCCGATAATTTTTGAGTCTTCATATGTCGATTCGTTATTCCCGTCTATTATATTGTTATCTGGAGTTTCAAAGAATGTTTCAACGTTTTTAGTTGCAGATTCGTGTGGAACGCAATCGTTTATCTGTGTTTTCGAATCGTGCGTTTCCGCGCCGGCGTTTACAGTCAAGTCTTCCATCTCTTTTTTATTTTCTGTTTCGTCCATTTCTGATGAATGGTAACTTTTGTCATAGTCTACTTGTATCTTTGAAGTTTCTACTGTATCAAAATTATCCTGAAAAGATCTTGTACGTTTCTTTGGATGGCTTATTCGTTTAGTTTTATCAGAAGAATTTTTTCCCTTTTGATTTTTTTCAGTCGAATCATTGTTACTTGTATTAGGAGGTGCTATAGTAGTATTTAGTTCTTCTTTATCTTGGTGTATAATTGCCGTGTGCTTCGTAGTGGCTTCTGATGATGAGACCCGCAAACTTCTACGTCTCTTAAGTGGTAGTGTTTCCTCGCGAAGAGTGTCAATTACTATTTCTGGATGAGCAATGACGCCTGGGTGCATAGTTGATTGATCAACACTGGTTTCTGGAAAGGAGTCTGTTACAAATTTGCGTTTTTTTCTTGGAAGTGTTTCTTTCTTGCTATTGTCTCTAATATAAAAGTCTTGAGAAAAAACCACTTTGTTTTCCGCATTATCACTACCTAACGATTCGTTAGTCACAGTAGAAGGCTTTTCTTGGGTTTTATCACTAGTTACCACGTTGTTCAAATTTACAGTCTCGTTTGAAATTTGTGTTTCCGTTAAAGAGTTTCTCAAACTCTTACGGGTTTTACTTATGGCTTTTGGTTGGTCTTGCATGTCGTGGACATTACTTAATGCTTCCTTTTGATCAGTCGATGTTTCAACAATATTTATTTCCGATAAGGAATAATGCTGCCTACGTGTTGCACCTGTGTGACTTAAATCTTTAGCAATCGCTGTTTCCTTTTGTTCACCTGAGTCATCAACACCAGCAATACTTTCAGACTTAATCCTTTTATGTTTGTCATGTCTTTTTCCTTTTTTATCATCTTTGTCGCCGGAATAAACAATTTCAGATGATAAACCTGGTTCTATATGATGAGATTTGTCTAAACTACTGAGTTCTGAAGACGAACGCAAATTTCTTTTCTTAAATGTCAACTTAGTTGCATCAACACTAGGAGTTGACGATATTGGACGAGTACCAATTTCTTGTTGCTTTAAATGTGTGTCATCCATTAATGAATCTTCTGTTTTGTTTGAATTAGTAACAGTAGGATCCTGCTGCTGAGCTTTTAACATATCGACAGTTTGTAATTCTGTGCTTCTACGAAAAAACTTTTTAACTACGGCCTTCATTTTTTTGGGAAACGTCAACTTCTGAGGATGAAGTTGACTTATTAAGATGTTTCTGTTGTTTGTCCTTTGAGTCTACCTTCTGACTAGGTGAGGACGCTTCAGCATTTGAATCTGTCGAACAAGAATCTGCAATTTTTTTTACGTGGACTTTTGTTTAGTTTAGACATAATTTTCTCTTTGGATTCCTCGTCAATCTTGGCTTCATCAATAATTGACGACATGATTTTCGTGTGTAACTCATGAATATCTTTACAATCGTCATCTGAAGTCTTATCTGAACTCTCATCGTTCTTATCCTGGTATAAGATCTCTTTTCTACTCTTCTTTTTTAAAGCTTGCTGCTTCTTGCTTTTCATCTTTTCTCGATGAAGTCGGTTCTCGAACTCCTCGAAATTTTTAACAAATCGTTTCTTGGGATTAATCGGTTCTGTGGGTGCATCTGGATTTTTATCGCGATCTTTTTCGGGTGGATCATCTTGCTTATCCGGAAATTTTATAGTCTTGACAGAGTGAAAATTTTGTGGCGGTTTGAGGCTGTTTTCTAAATCAGATATTTTGGGAACAGAAACCTCATCCATCAAATCTTTAAAAGCACTCTCAAGTTCGTTATTTTCAGCATGTTTCTCGTTGAAGCTCTGGCTTTCTTTTAGTATTTCCTCTTTATTGAAACCTTCCTCTAAATCGATGATATCATCAAGAATCTCCGATTTTCGTTTTTCTGTTGGCGGTATGACCCTCGGTATTTTTCTGCCAACTTGAACTGTGGTATTAAGTAATTCTTCCTCCTCGTCATTAAAATCAAAACAGCATTTACTATCATTTTGTGTACTTGTATCACCGCTAGATGCAAAGTCAATTTTTGATGAATCGTCTGCTTTATTTGTTGGAGATGACTTTTCTGTTACTTCAGGCTCTTTATCGTCGTTTTCTATTGTCTTTACTTCAGTTTCGACGATGGGTTCTGGTATTTGATCTATTGCTGTAAATGTATTTTCGTTTAATATACTCAAATCACTTATTACACTCATATCTTGTGTTTCGGATAAGTCTTCCTCTTCGTCGTCCCATTCTGCCAATAGATCGTTACGAATATCACTAGAATTTTTAGGCTTAACCTCTGCAACTACTTTTGGAGATTTTTTAACGGATGGTGAACTCTTGGTCTTTTTCTTTCTTTCTTTTGGCGGTTCAGGTGCCTCATCGTTAGAAGTATCATTTAACTGAGAAAATGACACTCTCTGTCTCTTAGCTGGCTCTTTCTTCTTTGGTTTTGGTGTGACGGGTTTCTTTCTTTTCTTCGTCGGTGGTCTATCGTCAAATTTAATATGCGATTTTATGTGTAATATCATTACCTCAAGTCTTTTTGTACTATAAGAACATTCGTGGCAGTTGTAATCGCGTTCTGGTTCAGTATTAAGTTGAATTACTTCTTCGTCTTCACTGTCAGGTGTTCTATCTTTACCAGGGTATTGAATACATATGTAGGCTTTGTAATCATCGGATCCAAGAAATCTTCTATGAGTTATGTGAGAGGTATCTGGCTGAGTTTCTAAAACGAAATAAAATATGTACATAAAATGGCAACTCGATTATAACTAAGAATGCTGAAATTAAGAACAACCCATAGAAACATAAATGTTATTTAGGTCTATGCTTCAACAAGTGACAAATCAGAGGAAGAAATTAAAAACATTTATGACAATACAGACGAAATAATGCGACTGACAAAAAAAGGTGAGCTAACGATGATTATGGGCGACTTTAACGCCAAAATTAAGTTAGGACCGTCAAAGAGGAAGAAGATGAATACAAGTTAATCAGATTGTTTATCTGATAAAAGGCATTGAATTCAAAAATCGAAGACGATAAGGTGCTGGAATTGTGGCGAAATGGGGCACGTAAGAAGTTCATGTAAGCACTCTAGGTACAACAAAAATCCAGAAACTCACCAGCAGGAAAACTAGAACGGGTCGGCCTTAGGGGGCAGCTTCTGAAATGTCGTGAAGATAGTGTATATGTAGATGAAGAAATAAATGGTAAACAGCATTCTTGTTGTTGGATACCGAAGCGACCAGGACCATTGTACGCCCGACAGTTATAAACAGCCGTAAGAAACTTCTACCAACTTCTATCCACAGAGAAATCCAGACACAATTAAGAATGGGAACAGAAAAGTTCGTCCATACTGTCATAGTTGCTGACATCGAAGAGGATGTTATATTAGGAATGGACATAACAAATATGCATGGATTCCAATTGGATTTTAAAAATAAGAGAATCAAAGTTCGTAACGAGAAGGTTTTTCTTCATCCACATGATGACAGCACTGTGCAAAAAGCCGTTAAAGATACAGCTGTGCCTGCGAAAAGTAAAACGATCATAGTAGGGCGGCTACAGGAGCTAATGGAACCTTGGAACCATGATGTGGAGGTTGGCTGAGGAATCATAATTGGAGACTTCTGCTAAAGAAATTCCTGTAAGATTTATACTCTTACAGGAACCTCTTTAATTGTGATATCTATAATCCGTCAGATAACAACATCCGATAATTCCAACGACAAATTCGACCAAATAGTTGCAGTTGCTGTCCAGACTCTAAATCAGTTGGAGAAAAGGAAATAAATTATTAATTAAAGTATCGTGACATTGTATTTTGTTTTACTTTTAAGTTGTGGTTAACAAACCTAGTTTAAATTATTAAGATAATTCATAATACAAATTTGATTATACACTTCTTTTAACAGCATAAAAATTTCATCATACAGTCAAATACAAGACGAATAAAATCCGAATAAAATTGTACTTATTGAAACAGTAAAAAGATATAGGAAAACTTACTGGTCGTTGAACGTTTGATGCTATTGTCAGTGCTGGTCCTTTTCTTACTGTTCGGTGTACCAAAAATTTCGCTTGCATAATTTCGTTTTACTTCAGGGCGAAATTGAGGCTCGCTGAGAATATTAGGATTACCTCCTACCGTCACTTCAGCAGTAGTCACATCCTTAGGAAATTTTTCCATGTGTGATGCTTTTGTCCGAAACGCAGCTAAAAACAAGTTATCGTTAAACAAAGAAAACCACTTTTATATGGTTTGAGTATATCAAGTAAGTATATCAACACATGTGTGACTATATATAATATGTTCCGACAACATTATGATCCGAATATATGTGTCTGTTCCCATCTGTTCACAAAAAAACTATCAGATGTAAACTAGAGATCGAATCTTGCGAGCAGAAGTAGAGAAGGCTTTCAACCAACTAAGAAACAAGAAAATCCCAGGGATTGATGGTATACCAGCGGTAAATCTAAAAGCAATGGGCGAAATTGGCATAGATGTAATACTCGATATATGAATGTTTATATTTAGGCTCCCTGATAACCAACAATGGCGACAGCTGCTCAAAAATCAAGTGTAGACTAGCAATGGCTTAAAATGCAAAAGCTAAATTAATTAATATATGGAAATACCGAACAATAACAAAAAATACTAAGCTCAGGTTGGTAAATGCCCTTATTTTTCCCATTGCTACATACTCAGCTGAAACATAGACTCTCAAAAGAATCGATATGAGTAAGATAGAAGCCTTTGTAATTTGGGTTATAGAAGAATTCTAGGCGTGAATGAGGAGCAGTATAACAAACCAGCGAGACATCTATAAGGAGATAAAACCAACCCAAAAAAAAGCAGCAAACACTGCAATTAAATTTAGAGACATAGTGCATATTAAGAAACAAGCATTTAGGATTAAAAGCAAAGCAAGAATTTATCAAAAATGCGTTCCACTAATACTTATATACGCGATAGAAGTTAGTGAGTTTTACCTTTTTATATAGACTATATATCGGCGAATATCAACCATGGAAAAAAATATTTCGGTTTAACAGTGTTGGTATGTTTTTATAGAAAGTTTTTACATTTTGATTATATTATTTTATGAATTCTGCAATTTTTAATTTATCTAAAACAATAACGAGTAAATATTTGTCTCTTTCGTGATTAATAATTGCAAATATCTGTTGCAATATGGCATCTAGTGGTTTGACGATTGCCAAATCTATCCGCTAATCTGTCAAAGGCCAATTGTAAAAAAATTCTAATAATTAACTACAATTTATATCCAAAGAACCAAATATTTAATCATTTTTGTTTTATATAAATTAAAAATTGTAGAATTCATAACCTAATATAATCAAAATGTACTTTTCTAAAGCCTCCTATCTTTATATTAAGGTTGATCTGCACCCCCCAAAAGATAAATTCCAAATTCAAAAAAATTTAAAAAAAATTTGAGAAGGTGTATGAGAAACAATGCGAAGTTTTAAATTCCATAAAAATCAGGAAATTGGAATACTTGGGGTACATCATGAGAGGTGAAAAGTACGAACTACTAAGGAATATAATGCAGGGTTTGGATGGTTTGGATGCAGTTCAATTGAACTATTCAGGCGAGTAACCAATAAAATCATAATTGCCAGATTGATTTCCAATCTCCGATAGGAGTGGAACTTGAAGAAGAAGAATGAGATGACTAGAAGTATTTTGACAACTTTTAAGCAAACTTCATGTTTTCGTTTTTTAAAAAAACTCAAAAAAAACTACTTTTTTTTCCAAGTATAAAGCGGGAAAAACAGACATATAATTTTGTTAATTTTTTTACAGCATCAAGATATAATTATAATTGGCATTATAAAATTGTCGAATACGGAAACTGCAGAACTACAATTAAGTTAAAAAATTTATCACAGTAGCATGCCGCAGTAGAGCCATCTCTAGGATCAGAAACAAATTAATCGAGTGAAGATCAACCTTAAAGTCATACAATATATACATTATAAGAACATGTCAACACTGCCAAACTGAAATATTTTCTTCCATGATTGAGATTTGCGGCTATATTCAGTTTCTGCTTTCGTGAAAGTTAAAAAGTAAATAGTTTTAAAACAGTTTTTAAAAGTAAATAGTAAAATGTCAGTATAAATAATAATGTTAAAAAGCTGTGTTGCCAATGTAAAACTAGAAATTATCCGAATGTTGGGAGCAAAATATCCGAAATTATCCGAATTCATAAAAATCGAAAAAGAAGACTAATTAAATGGAATAATTGACATTGACAGTGACACATTGATAGATGACAAATGACAATTAATATGACAAATGATGGCAAGAAAACAAGTTTATTTTGATAGAAATATATTTATTTAAATAAAAAACAATAAATAATACATAAATACAGCAAATTAACCAATTATTAACTCTTAAAACCTATATCAAAAATACTTATTGTTTACATACATAATCGGCAAAAGTATAGAGAAAGTGCCACAGGGGAATTACTTGACTACTTCGACCTTTTAGACTTGGATTGAAATTAATTTTTTGTTTTGTCAATGTCAAAGATCCCTGGATTTTTGTACAGTAAAACAGGCAATAAAAACTATACTATTTATCAACAGAGGGCGCTGAAATAATTCATAGGTTCCATCATCTTCGATTATATGAGAATAGAATTTGCAGTTCTATGTACATTCCCAAATTTAGCTAGTTAAGCTTATAAAAATTTAAATTAAATTTAAAAATAAAAAGTCGATAGACCCTTGAATTATCCGAAATTATCCAAAAAATTGTTCAATCCGAAAATTATCCGATGGTCCACGAAATTATCCGGACATCGGCAACACAGTTAAAAAGCCATCTATAACAATCTGAGAACTGGTGGTTTGAGACTCTATTGCCAAATCTATCCCCTAACCTACCAAAGGGCAATTGACAAAAAAATATCTAATAATTAACTGCAATTAATATCAAAAGAATTAAATATTAATTCATTTATTAATATATATACATATAATAATATAATAAAAATGTACGTTAAAGATTTCTTTCTTTGTATTTGAAGCATATGTATACATTATAGGACATGGCAACACTGCCAACGCAATATTCCGTTCTGTGAAACGTAATTGACAGCCCATTTGAAGCTATCTTCACTGGGACCAAATATGAAAAATGTCCGACACTTTTATTAGTTTGCACAAAACATTCAATTTGATCTTTTTAAAATTTAAAGTCCTCAATAATTTCACATTTTTAAATCGTACTCTTATACCCTTTATAAAAAAGTGCATAAACTATATAATTAGAATTATATAAAGTATGGAATATAGACTTACCCATTCCCTTTTTGATAAACTCGGTTTTCTTTTCACAGTTGTAGGGGTATATATTATCCCAGCTCTTCACATATTGACTAAAAAATAAATGATTCGTCACTACTAAAGAGAAAAATATTTGATAAAACAAACTAGATCTAATTTTTGCCGAACTGTCTCACGCGCTTTAGGTAGTTAAATGAGTGTAAGTCATAATCTCTTACAGGACTAACACTTAATAGTGGGGATGAAGCAGTCTGGAGTAAACTAGTTACGACGGCAACTGGGCAAAACTAATTTATGGGGCATGGTCAATAATTCCATAGCAAGCATTAAAATATAGAAAGACTTTTCACTTGATAACACCAGGTATTCATCGATGTTGACAAGGTTGATGTTTATTACAATCTAAGGAATCTTATTGGGCACCGTTGACTCACTGTAATTAAAAATTGATATTTCTTGTTTACGAGGTGGGGATATATTTGCTATTGTGCTAAACGTGAAAGAGGCAGATAACAATTGAAAAAGAATGATAAGTCATCAGCAAGTTATTTTGTTGTTGCTTTAACCAACAATTTTATCAGGGCAATAAATTCCAATTACTCATATTAAGTACCTATCTACAAAAAATGTAATAAACATTGTGGATTCCGAGGCTTTGGATACACATAGTCACATACTATTTGAAAGATGCAGATAAGTTAACTATATCTACAAATGATTTATAAACTACCAAAGGGCATTCGATAGAATAGAGCATAACAAACTGATGTCGAAAATGAAAGAAGTTGGTCAATTGATACCATGAACACGTTTGAATAGTTGCTGTACTATACTTTGTCACAAAGTGACTAGTCTGTACATGGTAAGATATGCAGTGAGCAATGGCGTTCTCTATTGTCTATCTTTCAAAATAAACGGAATAAACCAGCAGTTGATCAACCTCATCTTTATCGCTCTTGAAATTTGACAGTCCTTCCATATTTTGGTCATTTTTGCTGTGGCAACTTTGGTTAGATCACATCTACGTTTAATCTCTTCTTGTAATGACCCTGTGTTTGTGATTAATTATCCCAGATATAAGTATGAGCTCACAACCTCGAACCGGTCAATTGTGGTTATGTGTGGATGATTGTTGTGTAGTCTATCCACTATCATAATCTTTGTCTTTGATATGTTTAATTGCAGACCAAATATTTGACTTTCGTTTTCGATCAATCGTATAAGTTCCATCAGCTCTTCTTGACTATTTGCAAGAAGGGCTGTGTCATCTGCGAAACGTAGGTTGTTTAGTTTATGACCATTTATTGAGATGAACTTTTCCCATCCTTCAAGTGCTCTTCGCATAATATACTCCCCATATATGTTGAATAATTGTGGAGATAGTATACATCCTTGTCTGACACCCCGTTCTAGATGAAACTCGTTCGAAAGTGTGTCAAGTACTTTAACTGATCCAGTAGTGTGTTCATATAGTTTAGTTATAAGCGTAATTAGATGTTGTGGTACGCCTACTTCTTTTAGTATTCGCCATAAGTGTCTCCACTTGACCCTGTCGAACGCTTTACGGTAATCTATAAAACAGATGTATAGTGGGATGTTGAATTCCCTAGATTTCTCGATTATCTGTCTTATATTCAGCAGGTGTTCTCGAGTGCCTCTACCTTTGGTAAATCCAGTTTGCTCTTGTGGAATTTCTCTTTGAAGGAATGTTTTCAGTCTCTCATTGATTATATGTAGCATTATCTTGCTGGCATGGGATATAAGAGAGATAGTTCTATAATTGTCGCATTTATGGAAGCTGCCTTTTTTACGTATGGTCGTTATTGTAGATTTTGTCCAGTCTTCAGGCCATTGTTTGGAATGCCATATTTGGTTACAGAGTAGATGAAGTAACTTTACGCCGGTTTCTTCTGTGGCTTTAAGCATTTCTGCTGTTATCATATCTGGAGGTGTTGCTTTGTTATATTTGAGCTTGTTGATAGCCTGTCTTACTTCATTTTCGAGTATATCAGGTTCTTCTTCAACCTCGTCAGAGATTTGGCTAACAAGCTCTTGGCGTTGATCATCTTTATATAGGTCCCTGCAATACGATCTCCATGTCTCTGCTATGTCTTCTCTGTTTGTTCTCAGGGTTTCCAGTGTTATCTTCAATGGCCCAAGTTCTGGCTCTGAAGTCTCTTGTCAGGTAGCGTATTTTTCTAAATAGATCTCTCGGCTGATTATTCTGACCATGTCTCTCAATTTCTTTGCATATACTTTGATAGTACTGTTTTTTGTCGGCCTTACATCTTCGTTTTATTTCTTTATTGAGGTTTCTTAAACTAGCTTTTTCCCTTTCACTATGTACACCACTTTTACAAAGATTTCTTCTATTCTCAATTATTTTAAGAGTTTCATCTGTTATCCAGTGTTTCCGTTTCACCGGATTATTTTTCTTTGAGCGATCCACTGGTGTTGTTACGCAATGTTTAACAGTCTTCCATATTTCTTATGATGTTCCGTTACGAATAGAGGGCATACTTTTCTGTATTTCCTGTAGAATATCTTCTTTCTTAGTTCTATCCTCTATATCTCTCTTTGTTTGTTGGGTGCTTTAAGTTTAAGCATTACTTTAGCTACGAGGAGAGTATGATTGGATCCGCATATCGCCCCTGGATATGATCTGACTGTTTGAATGGACGATCTCCAGCGAATATTGGTGAGGACGTAATCTATTTGATTTCTAAATCTATCTTCCTGGACTTTTTCCAAGTATTCATGATGGTAGTTATTTAAGATAAGCAAATTCGATTAAACGGTCTCCTCTTTCGTTTCTCTGCCTATGCCGAACTTTCCCAGTACATTCTTTAAGTCGTCATTTTGTGTAGTGTTGCCAACTTTTGCATTAAAGTCGCCACATATTATAGTAAGTTCTTCACGATGAAGGTGTCAGGGGCCAAATTAGTAGAATAGTTCATCAATGTTTTCGTGACAACATACCACCAACAATAAACACCATATTAGCTGTTGTAAATGTCGACGAAAGTTTGCCCAACTTATCACGTGCCACGCTACATCGCTTGCTGAGTGATATGGATTTTGTGTTTATAAAACGTGCCAGAAATTCAATTTAGATTAAAAAACCAGAAATCATCTCGTGGCGTCATCGTTATTTACGCGCAATTCGTAAATACCGTGCAGAAGGATACAACATAGTGTATTTGAATGAATCATGGGTAAATACACCGAATGAATCGGGCACAGTGTGAAAAAAGAATGGGTTGATAAAATAATTACATCTCATAGCGATGCTTTTGTTAGTGGTCTGACAACAGGATTAGAAGCTCCAACAGCTCGTGGTGCACGGTTCGTTTTATTTCACACAGGATCTACCAGTGGATTTGTTGATGGAGCAGACCTCACGTTTTTGGTAAAAAAAAATACTCAGGACTACCACGACGAAATGGATGTACCGACCTTCGAAGATTGGTTCGAAAATGCTAATGCTAATTTGCCAGAAAAAACTGTTGTGGTAATGGACAATGCCTCCTATCACAGCAGAAAGTCAGAACAAATTCCCAACAGTTCAACACTAAAAAAAGATATTCAAGAATGGCTTCTGTCAAATGACCTATTTTTTTAAGAAAACTACCTAAAATGCGAGTTACTTGATGTAGTCAAGGCATTCAAAGCAAAATATGACAGGTACATAATATAGACAGGTACATAATAGAAGATATTGCCAAAAAGCACAATGTGAAGATTCTGAGGCTCCCACCCTATCACTGTGAACTCAATTCAATCGAAATGGTTTGGAGTGAAGTGAAACGGTATATAGCTGAACGCAACGCGAATTTTAAAGAAGATGAAATGCGAAATTTAATTACAGCAGCGTACCAGGTCATTACGCCAAAGAAATGGAAAAACTACGTAAACCACGTAATAGCAACAGAAAAAAAATGTGGGAAATTGACAATTTGTTGGATGATATCGAACCAATTATTATAAATATAAATAACGGAGATACTGATGACAGTGACGATAATAATAATGATGATAGTTAAGCAGAAACTAAATGTGACAGCGATTGACAGAAAAAGGAACTAAATATTATGGTGTACAATTACGCGTGTACTTAAACGCGAAATGAAATACAATGAATTCTTTTATTTTTAACTTATTTATTAGTTTTATGTTAGGATATTTCTACGTCTTGTTACTGCACAATCGTGTGGTTTTTAAAAGTCCTTCCCCCCTTAACTTTTGAACGGAACAGCACGCAAATAAAATGTTTCTTTATATTTTAGTTTTATTTTATTCGATTTTATTTAAATCTATACACAAATGGTTTGTATCGCTAGCACATACTGTAGAATTAAAACAAACTGCTTGTGTGACATAAATAAAAGGCATTTCTTAATTTCTATTTTATTTTAATTTAACCCAAGTATGTTGTAGCAAATATTATTTATGTTTGAGAACCACTGACAGAAGGAAGCCAGGCAGGGTCGTTAATGGGTATTAGTACTTAAGCTACCCTCAACACAAAAGATGGATTAGGCTAAATAATAAGAAGTGACGTTTATTTTAATACAAGTTTGCAAAAAAGTATGGCATCGATGTTTTGCATTTACCCTGTATAGACTAGTCACTTTGAGACAATCTATAGTTACAAAATTGAACAAGAGAATATTAGCTATATAATCTATGATTATTTACGTATGTATTACATATTTGTACTAAGACAAATCACAGAAAAGGCCATAGAGTACAATAAACCAGCCTAAGTTTATAGACCTGACAAAGGCTTTCGATCACATTCAAGTCGAAGACGTCTTACACCTACTGTATAAAAGAAACATATCAATCAATATTATACAAATCATCGAAAACATCTACGTCCATAATCGAATACAGGCAAAGATAAATGGAAAACTAACACAGTCTACATCATTACAAAGCGGACTCAGATAGGGTGACTCGTTAAGCACACTTTTCTTTAATATAATAATGGACGAAATAATACAAGCAGTAAGTAAAGGTCATGGCTACAGGATGAGGAACAAAGAAATCCAAATAATATGTTATACAGACGACGTCGCATTAATCGCCG